AAGTCAAAAGCATTAGTGTCTGCGACTATGAGGCGAATCCACACGTGGACCATTTAATTAAACTGTAGTCTGTCGGGGCTCACCGATGGGATGAGCCTTTGTTACGACAGCTCCGAACGGTACGCTGTGTCCCTTACTGCCACAAACAAGGCCTCGCTGGGGGATTATTTGGTCTCTCGACCGGGGCTGATTCCTCACCAACCCTGAGAGAGCAGCTTGTCGTGCTTTACCGAAGGGGCAGTGTAAGCTAGTGTCGTCCGAGTTGAAGGACCCCGTGAAGGCTGACAACAGATAAACTTTTATCTAACAGTCCCTTACAGTTGACAATCCATGGTATTCTTAAAACAAACCATTATTTGGAAAAGGGGGCCTGGGAGTGGTGTGGTGACAAACACCAAGACTGTTCTTGGTAGAAGTGAACATAAACTGACTATGCTTCGACTCTCAAGAATGTAGAGATGAAAAGCAAAAATTTAAATACTTAGAACTTTGAAAGGTATCAACAGCAAATAACTACAAGAGTGTGAAGAAATACAAATAGTTTTAAAGAATACTTCTGAAGGTCAACAACAAGCTGTGCAAGAGACAGGAGACAGTAAGTTACCTGGTGTCCCCCGCCTGCACCTTCCAGCGTGGAGAATTCAGAGGGGCAGAAACCAGTACAATAACTGGCTGTATGAACTTGGCCAACTGCCCCACACTTTCTTACCCCAGTTTCCTCAATCATGGGAACCCATTATTTCCTTTCCAAGATGACTAAAAGCCCCAAGACTTTAATAGAAGAGCTACATAAAGCATCCTTTACAGAAGATGCTCAAAGGTGGTGACGGATAACGGCGAAGCCTCAGACTATTCCATGACAAAGCCAAAGGTTCTTGTTTGTGAGGCGGTCTACCTTCTAAAAAGAAAGACTGACTCTGGCCTTAAAGTACATTTCATCTACGGAGGGACAAAAGGAACCAGTCTATCAAATGAGCCACGTCAATATGTCTGCGAGGCGGGCCCCGCCAGCATCATTCCTGAAATCCAGCCACATCCCCAATAGTGGATTTTGCTAGCACATTAAGTTCAGTTTCTTCCAAGAATAAGTTTCCCTCATAAACTTTCTGTTTGTCCCACGTCCCTCACATTTAGTAATGATACAACCAGGTTCCCAGCCGCCCAGGGTCAAGATCTGTCTCTCATCCCTCACGTTCCTCGTGTTGCAAAGTCATTTTGTCCTGTTTCTGTAGTATCGTTAGATTTCTGTTCTCCTCCCCGTCCCCACCCCGCCTCCCCTGGGATCCACATCGTCACCTCCACTCCTTGGTACTGGGCCTCCACCCTCTCCCTCGCTCTTTCGGTCATGGACCTCCATTCTTATCACCCCTCCGGTTCTGGCCCTCGGAACCCCTTCCCTGGGCCTGTCACGTCCTCCAAGCAGATGCCCCTCCCCCTTTCCACCTGGCCGCAACCCGTCTTCTCGCGCTGCTGCTGGGTGGACCTTCTTAGAGCACACCTGATGACCTCGCCGCCTGCTCAAAAAGTTCAGAGTCGCCCTGACTTCATTTTCAACGTAATAAAGTACACACTAGCCAGTCACAAAGGTGACACTTAGGATAAATTTGAACCAAACTGTAATTCTCAATTACGAATCCAAGACTATAAGGTATCATTTAGTGGTTTTGCAACTATTTCCTCTGGAATCACAAACAAGTTTTAAAACACTAAAATGCGGTCCATTTCATTCCTTCTAGCAACAAAATGGGGGTAAGGGGTCGGGGTTCAGGGTACGGCAGCACCTCAGGCAGCCCCACGACATCTAGTGCAGTTCGGTCTACGCTCTTGTTTGGTTTAAAAGTAAATACAAATATGATGAATAGAGATGGCTCAGTTTTAACTCAGGGAACCGACCTACTATAACTGTGGAATCTGATTGCACGATGGCTCGCTAATACAACGTTGCGATACACTGCAGGCCATACTGTATATTCTGAAAAACAGCTAAAAATAGGCTGCTATAATTTAGCTAAAAAGCTGTAGTAATGACCTATTTCACAGCAGACTATCGGAGTACCACGGGGAGTGGAGAGGGAAAAGGGCACGCAGAGGATCTCACGGCCAGGAGTGAGGGCCCTTCTTCCTGTCTTATCCAATCTAAAATTTGTTTTGTCTTTTCCGGAAGCCAGAGGTTATCAAATCCTGCCTATGGACCAGGTCAGTTCAACAGAAGAGACCTTGGAGCCTGCAGAAGAGTTGTCCTGAGGGTTACAGGCAGCATGTTTAGGCTTCAGGACCACACAGGTCTGTGATGGCTCATACACCACCAGCTAACATGCACCGAGCATCTCTACGTGCCAGGAATTAAACTGAGTACTTCACATTTCCTAGTTTACTTAATCCTCACTCATCAAATGTTTATTGGGAATGTATTATATATCAGTCATTATTTTAGGAATAGGAAATACAGAATTGAACAAGATAAATATATTACTCACTCCCCTGGGACTTATAGGATGGAAGAAGATACTGAACAAATACAAGTGTGATGAGTATTCACGTAAAGGACAGGGCATTCAAATGGCTAAGCAAAAGAGGCATTCGGCCCAGTCTTGACAGTAGGGAAGGCTCCCAGACTCAGGGACAGACCCAAGAGATGAGTAGATGTTATGTAGGCAAAGAGTGTTCCAGGAGCAGGAACAGCATGCTGGGGACTGTCCCCTCTTTGATAAAGGAGTCTTCCTTTTACCACAAGCTCTGCTCTAAGCTCATATGGATAAAGTTCTACTTAGTGATATGTAACCAAAGCCCCATGTAGCACGGGAATAGTCTCCTAAGTGGTTTTATCATTGTGTTTATAGTTTTCTTGAGATCATTAGAAGTGGTGGGAAGAAGTATGCAGATGGATGTAGATGTATGAAAGGAGGACGAGGCTGTAGTACTTTTTTACCCCTGAGCTGAAAGGTCCCTAGGTCAAGTTTGTCCTCATCGACCAAACAGAATCGGATGTTTAAGACTCTAGGGTTCTGCCTTTTCTCTCTCTTCATCCCTCTCTCATCCCACGTCCCAGAAAGGACTTAAAGCCACATCCAGCTGAATGTTTTACAAACTGCATAGTGAAGAAAGATTAGACATTGAAACACAACTACATGAGTGTGTTACTTTTATTCTTTTAATATATTCAGATAAATGTATAATAGAGTATATATAATTCTCATCACATTTTGTGAGTTTGTTTTTCCAAGATAGCCTTTCTGTTGACACTGTAAAATCACAAATAGAAGAACTATTGAAGATATTAGAAGACATGGGTACCTCGGCACGGGTAGAGCCCATCTGGTGACTGCAGAGATTTTGGTAGTCATGGTGGCTACTGACTGCTGGCTTACCACAGTGTTCTTTCAGGGCGTGCATGCCAAAACTTGAAATAAAACAGGCTAGAGTATGCTCATCTACTATGAATGTTAGAATTTTTGCAGTATAGAATATATTAAGTAGTAAATTTTTCATAGATACGATTAATAATAACATCAAACTTTGTTGATTGAGTTTATGCATATACGTATAGTTGATCATTTGGGGATAAATTAATTAGCTCTCTCGCCTTGGACAGTAATCACAGCTATTAGGAAATAATTATTTTTTTCACTGGAACCCCTATTGAATTAACACGGTTGTGATGCTATTGGATCGACATTAACTGAGAAGTAAAACATGAAACTGTTCCTCCTAATGACATCTAAAATGGAAGCCTGAGTCCTCCTCGATGACGAGGGGATGGCTCTAACACCTCCGCAGCCCTCTGATGCAAGGCCAGGGTGCGCACTATGAAAGCCCCTGAACTTCATCCAAGCGGATTTTTTTACGTTGCCCGTTTCCACTTCAGTTTCTCTATTTTCCTTCCTTATTCTCAGAGAATTAAGATATGACATTAAGTTGGAAGTCTTTTGTTCTCATGTCTCAGTAGAATTAAATAAAAAAGTTTTCTTTTTAAAGAAAAACAAAGTTATTTTCTTTTGAAAAAGTGTGTTAACAGATATAAAGAGAATATGATTCTGTAGCTTGAAAGAGAAGAAATGTGTTTATTCTCGTGTTGATGGCCCTGAAAGCTATTGTCAAGATATCAAGTGAGGACTTTGAACTCAAGATTTAAGGTTTCAAAAAAGGTCTTACATGAGAAATCTATTGACATTATAGATCAACTAGTGGAAATTTTCTATTCAGAAAATTGGATTTCTATTGTACCTCTTACTGCCTTCAAGTATAATCAACAAGACAGAGCTTCCAGATATATAGAAATTGTTGCAGAATAAGGGAAGTATAATTTAAAGTCAAAATGGTAAAACTTATTCATCTTAGATTGTTATAAGTAGATGTACGATTTTCTCAAGCATAAATCCATTCTTGCTATAATTTTTGCAAAGTGAGAACATTTTCTACTATTAGATATGATTCACTACTGTGGAATCAGGAAAAATGGAAATATTTCTACTTCTTTTAAAACTAGAAACACCAAACAACGCAAAAGCCAACAATAAATTTCCAAAGATATTTTTCACATATGCTACACATGTTAATATCTTTGATACACAAATAGCTATCACAAACCAATAAAAGATTGAATCTTCTACTAGGAAGACCAGGTGCTGTAGGTATAAAAAAATAAAAAAATAAGGGATTAGAAGATGACAAGGTCCTTGCAATCTTATTCTTTTTTTTTTTTTTTTTTTTTTTAAGGCGAGGCAACCCTTGGTTTCCTTGATTATTCTTGATTATTCTTAACCCTTGGTTGCCTCGCCTTAAAAAAAAAAAAAGAAGAAAAAAAAAGAAAAAAAGATTGAATCTTTTAATTAAAAGAGGAGCAAAGAATATGACCAGATAATACATGAATTATTAAATACAAATGAATAGTTACTATTCTAGAATCTTCGACTTCACTGATAATCAAATGAAATAAAGTACTACTTTATAGTTTTGAATATCATATTAACAA